CCCCCCCTGCAATGGGGCCCCTCTGCCCCCAGCCCTGGGCAGTCTGGCCATGGGCTGGGATGAGATTCCCACTTTAATATTTAATGTGAGATTAAAGATAAATCTAGGGGGATACTTTTTTTTTTTTTGGATTTTATTTTATTCCGGTGTATCACAAAATGAGCTATGAATAAAACTTAACTTGTGCAGAAGAGGATTTATTTATGAGTTTCAGCTGAAATTTGCTCCGCGAGGGCCCGGAGCAGGCAGGCAGGAATACAGATGAGATCCCACTTCCCGCAGGCGAAGCTGGCAGCTGGGGAAGCTGGAGGTATAAATTTTACCTCCCCTATCCCAGCTCTGCGCCTGCATATTTTTTTTTATTATTTATTTTATCTTATTTGGTTATTCTGGTGATATTTACTCTCCGAGGAAATGAATCTCAGGGGCTCCTTATGGATGCTCGGGCTCCACATGAGACTCCTGGCTCAGATTTGGCAAATGCAAACCCCATTTCAGCAGAGGGGCCAATGCCAGGGACAAAGCATGGACGTAAAAACCTCCCCCCTTCCCCAAATCAGGAGAAACCAATTTCCCTTCATCTTTAATTAATTAGCTCATGCTAATGAAAGCATCCCATTTCCATGACGACCCGGGGTTCCAAAGCCCAGCCCCGTACCGCAGCAATAGTTGGAAATTAAAGCGATAAATAATAGATGCTCACCGTTAATGAACTAATTTTAAATTGAGGTTTTAATTTTTATTTTTTTTTTCTAAATTCACAACTTTTTCTGCTCACAGCAAAGCCATTAGCATTTGCTTGGAAGCAGAATTAAGTCAGTGAACAGTAATCGATTCCTTTTATTAGCGAATTGAGAGGCGCTTTAATATTTATCAGTTTATTGTTAAGAAATCCCCCGTGAAACTCCACTTCAAATCCCAGGCAAACTTTCCAGAATTAAATTTATTAGGGGTATAAATTTATAATGGCTTAACACGCTACACAGATGGAATATATATTGCTAATGTAATTTTCCAAACCAGTGATGAGTGTGTCTGAGAGATTTATTTTTTTTATGGCTAAGTAATACAGACTAATATATTGCACAATGGCAAAATATATTAAATATGTATATGAAACATCAGGAAAAAAAAAAAAGAGGGAATAGGGTGAGGGCAGGGGCTGAGATGTTTGGTGCAGGGTGGGGACAAACACAGCTGGGATTTTGCCTCACTCCGGCAGCCAGAGGCTGGGATGTGCCCGGGATGCTCAGCAAGGTGTATCCCCCCCGAAGGCAGCGTCTCCCCCCGAGCCACCTCCTTCCTCCAGCGGCTGCGGCCCAAAAGGACCCGTTATGCCAAAGAGCTTATTTAAACGAGGCTAATTTAAGTCTCTGGCATGTCTAAATGAGCTGGGCTGCTTTTTCCTCCTCCCTTTTCAGAGGTGGCAGAAGGGTGGGAGCACGCATGAGCGGCTCTGGAAGAAAAATGAAGGGGGGGGGGGAAAATATAAAAAGACAAATGGGGTCTAATTGGCATAATGGGGTCTAATTTGTTTTCGAAAGCCGCATCTCTCCTGACCCAGGGAATTGGCATTGCATGAAAAATACCTGCAGCATGCGAATGAGCCAGCTCCTCGGCAGCTTTATGGATCCCACCTGACACGAGGCCCTCGTTAAATCAAAACAGAGATAGCGCAAGAATTAAACTGTCAGGATAACGCATGTCGGCGTTCGCCGGGTAGCGGCAGCGCCCGCAGCCGGGTCTCGCTCCGGGGGGATGGATGTGCCAGGGCAGGATGTTATCCCTCACTGCTGACCCCCCGGGACAGGGCTGGGATGGGGCAGGGGGGGCAAACACCACCAGACCCCTTTCTCCATCTCCGTCAGCAGGCACGTGCTGAGTTACTGCCGGGCGCGATGACGCCCCGGACCATCAGTTGTTATCGAATCCACGGTGCAGTTTCATGGCTGGAATCATTCACTCGGCTTCCGTGTGGGGACTTTCAGATGAGCCAGGGGATAGACAGGCTTAAAAAAAGCTCTGATTCCAGCCACACCAACGGAGAAAATAAAAGTGTCTTCGCAGCCTGCCGGGGCTTGTGGAGGGGCTTGTCCCAGGGAAGATGAACCCGCGTCAGTAAACACCAGCCTGGTGGGAAAACGGGCTTGAAACCAGTGTCCCTTCTGACAGGGCCAGGCTTCAGTGTCACCTCGCTCGGGTGCAGCCACCCAGCAGCACCCACTGGCATGAGGTTGGGTGCTGGGACACAGCCAGCTGCTCCCCAAAGCCTCTGCAAGGAGCAAAGCCCAGCTCCTTCCCACCCCGTCCCAGCAGAGCCCAGCACCCTGCTGAGCATCCCAGCTGCTCCCAGCCCAGGTGGGGCAGGATGAGCCCATATTAGGAGCCCATGGCAGGGCTCAGGACAGATCCTGCCTGCACCTCCCTCCTGAAGATGCAGCCAGGTGACGGCAGCTCCCGCCCGTTCAAGCAAAGGAGAAGCCTGGGTCTGTTCCTGGGGCCAAGGGGAGCGGCAGTGCAGAGGCACGGTGCTGGGCTGCACTTACTGCTCCTTCTTTTCTCTCCCGCAGCCACCAGGATGCACGAAGTGACAGAGATCAGGATAAAATATCCCAACAAGATCCCGGTAAGGGCTGCGTGTCGCTCTCTTTGTGGCCACCAACGCTGAAAGACGAGCCGTGAGTCTTTGCTGAAGACTTTTATGGCTCAGTTCAGAAGCCCGTGGCTCTGCCTCTCCGCGCACCCCGTGAGCGTGGTCCCAAAGCCTCCCTGTCTCCCCGCTGCAGGTGGTTGTGGAGCGCTACCAGAGGGAGAAGACCTTGCCCCCCCTGACCAGGACCAAGTTTCTGGTGTCCCAGGACCTGCCCCTGTCGCAGTTTGCTGTCACCCTGCGGTGAGTGGTTAAGGATGCAGAGGGGCCAAGGCTTGCTTGGGACAAGGTGAGGGCTCAACGGCCCCAGAGTGGTGCAAAAGCCCAGTCTGGATGCAGCTGGTCTTGCGAAATACTCAGCTTAGAAGCCATTTTGGCTGCTTGTTCCGCTGGGAAAGCGCTTAGACTCAGCCTAACGCAATTACCCTTGCAATCAGCAAAGACCATTTGCTTGCCAAGGCATTATGGCAGAATTCCTTCATCCTTGCTGGGATAAAAGGTGACAATTGGCCCTTTTCCTGGGGACCTGCAGCACAGGTAAATTGCTAATTAGGGGTAGGTGATTAGCAGCCCTGCAAACGAGCAGCAGGCTTGCAGCTGGCTTGAACCCTTCCAGGGACCAATGTCTGTGGGCAGCCCAGTTCAGGTGGAGCTGAGAGCTCGTGGTTGGGGCTTGGCCCTTACAGAGGTTTTGGGGAGCAGCTGGCTGTGCCCTAGCACCCACCTTCACGTCTGTGGGTGCTGGTGGGTGGCTGGCACCCGAGGGAGGCGATGCCAAAGCTCGGTCCCTTTGGGAGGAACCACTAAACACCTGAGCCAGCCCCGTGGCCCCATGGATTTGCCCTCTCTAGGGCCCCTCTGCGCTGCCTGGTGCTGGGCGATGCTCACCCACGTGCTGCCTTCACCTTCCTCCCCGCAGGACGCGGCTCTGCCTGGGCTCCTCCCAGACCTTCTACCTTCTGGTGAACAACAAGGGGCTGCCCAACATGGCCATCACCATGCAGGAGCTGTACCGGGACAACAAGGACGAGGATGGTTTTCTCTACCTGACCTACGCCTCCCAGGAGATGTTTGGCAGCTCCTCCTCCAGCAAGCCGGGGGCTGCTTGACCCCAAAAGCACCTGCCAGCACCGTGTCCTCTCGTCTCAGGACTCCAACGCTGGTGAGATGGGGGACACAGATCTCCAAACTTTGCTTAAAATCTCAGGGGAGCCCAGGATTTTGGCCGGATGAAACCTCACCTTCCCTCTGGCTGCAGTTTGACGGGCTCAGCTTTGTAACAGTCTTAAAAACTCTGCGCAACACCTCCTCCTTAATCTTGTGGCTTTAGTTACAAATTATTCTCCCAGCGCAGCAGAAGATGGTGCTGGTTTACTCTGATCCCTGGGAAGGTTATTCTTCTAACAGGCTCTTCTAAAGGGCTTTACAGCCTGTCATCCCTGCTCAGAAAACTTAGGCTGTTCCTAAACGCCTCTCCTAATAGGATCGGGGACGGGGAGTTTCACGGTTTATGCAGGTTTCAGTTAAGCTGCGTGTCCGTTCTAGGTGCTGCTCGAGCATCCTTGCTCTTGAGACGTGGAATAAAAAAAATGTGGCTGGTCCCTCTGGTCGTCTAAACGCAGCTTGTCCCTTGGCTGTAAAACCAGACTTAACCTCAGGGCTTTGTCCCTGGCTTTGCTGGGCTGCCAGTTTGAGCTGGAGGGGGGGTGGGTGGGGTGGGTGTGAGGGAGCAAGAGCACAGAGAGGGGAAGGACTTTGCTCCCACCATTGAAAAAGCAGCCTGGGAGAGGTTCTGCTGCACAAGAGCAGCTCCCCATCTCCCTCCTCCCCGCAGACCTGGGGGGTTGGTCCCCCCCCACCTCCAAGCAGCACCCCAAGGATGGGGCACGTACCTAAAACCCGCAGCAGAGATTAGCCAAGCTTAAATTGTGGTGGTGTGCTGTGAGTCAGACCTAAATGCTTCCTGCCACTGATACTGCAAAATGCCTCTTAAATATTTAAGGCTTCCCTTGCTGTAAAATGCATTGTCACCCTGGGTGAATATTTCATGCACGTTTCATGTTAAAATGTTAATAAATAAGCTCTAAAATTAGCTGCCACAACAGCAGGAGCCGAGTCCCTGATGTGCTGGGGGGGAGTTGAAAGTTCCCCCTCCTGTGCAGGGCTGGGTGGTGGGAGCTGGGGTCGGTGCTGTGCCCCCCCCCCGGGACGCAGCCCCCCCAGACTGCAGCAGCAGGTTCTCTCCTGAGGCTTTGGGCTGCCTCAAGCCTGAGCTGGGGCACCAGAGGTTTGGTTTGTTTGTTGTTTTTTTTTTTTGGGGGGGGGGGAGAATCACAGCTCAGTGCTGGTCGGCTGATGGATGCAAAGGCTGAGTCCTGGTGATGGGGGAGCCTGGTTTGGGATTTTGGGATGCTCCTGCTGACCCATACGGCCCCTGGGCCAGGGAGAGACAGGGAGCTGGAAACGCTACAGCTCCCCGCAAGGAAAGCAGCCCAGAGCTGCAACCCTTAAAGCAAAGAGCAGGGCAGGGGTGGGGCAGAGTACAGAGGATCCACAGACCTGATTTCCCCCAAGGAAAGGGACTCAAAAAAAATATTTACAGCCTCGCCAAGCTGGGGGCCCTGTTTGCTCAGTGCTGCAGGGGACATCCCTGCCCGCCGCCCGCCCCATCCCCTTTCCCCGGCACTCCACCACCCCCAGCCTTTTTTTTTTTTTGCTTTTCCCCTCTGTTATCCCAACCACAGTTTCCCCCCGCAAGTGCAGGAGCTTCCCAGGCAGATGTTCAGAGGCAGCGCTTGCTCCCTGCACAGACACTTTCCTGCTGGTGGCTTTTTTTTTTTTTAAACAAACGTATATTTAAGTTGTCAGCTTACAGCTGATCCGCTTATACCTAAACTCCTCTCTCTCCCTGTTGAATAGGGAAGGGGCTGGCATGCCTCAGTGTTTACACACACACAACCTCCATGCTCCTATTACCTCTAGGCATCCTGTAATTAAACCCGTGAGCTCCTCGGGGCAAGGACTCCCTGTTGCATGCATATATATATTATTTATTAGGGTCCCCGCAGTCTGTAGGGCTGGCTCTGAGCAGCCTGGGCCTCCAACTCCCTCCAATGCTGAACTGCCTTTACGTATAACTGTGCACACACATTATTTTCCCGCGAGCATCCCTTGGACACCTGAAAACGGCCTGGAAGCCCCCAGGCTACGAGTAAAATAGAGAAGCAACATGCAGTGTAGGGAGGGGGCCGGGGGAGACCTTCCTCAATCCATCCTCTCCTGTTCCAGTCTCCTGTCAGAGCAGGATGGATGGGGCTGGCAGGCGTTCGAGGAAAGGGTATTTTTCACGAGCACCAGAGAATTGCTGCCCAGAAAGCTTCTGTGTTCAAAAAGAGGGGTTGAAAGCAAGGAGAGCCTCCCTGGCCCTGCAGCCGTGCTCCCCCGAAAGCTTTCGCTGCTCGGAGCGTCGCCTCCACCCCCGCGTGTGTTACCAGGAAAGGGATGGGGTGGCTTGGCCTGCCAGTAAAAAAAGTCAAAAAGTCTCAATTATAGGTTGAATTAATGCTGAAGGGTCCCAGAGCTGTAACATGTGGCACCTTACAGGTTCACTCCTTAATTAGCTGACAGTGAGGGATAAACTGGGAAGGAAAGGGAGGAGAGAGAAACTGGAGCAGAGGTGGGTTAAAGGAGGGGGAGTGCAGCCCAGGAAAGCCCTAATCTCTGGGGGTAAAGAACTTTTCTCACACACCAGATCCACTTTCCAGCCCTTTTCCCATTTCCCCCCATCACAGGGAGGGAGGGGAAGCCCGAAAAGCTGTTTCTTTGCAGGTGTCTCTGTGAAGATGAATCCTAGAGGGGAGGCGGCAATCAGGTGCAAAGCCAAAGGGTTCCCCATCACCCAGCCCAGTCCAGCAGGACAAAGGACCCGGCGGCACCAGTAAAACCCAGCAAAAGCCCCAGGACACTCTGGAAGGCAGCAGAGCTTTTGCTGGGCTCTGCTGAAGGCCACGAGGGACCCTGTTGCCTTCCAGTGCCATCGCTGAACCCATTCCAAACCTCCCAGTCTTCAGCAAAGCTGGGTGAAAAAACTGCACAAAGCTCACGGGAGGGATGAAGCGAGTTTAGGGAGTGCAAGACTCGGCCTTTTTGCCCCCTGAATCCCCCCGCAGAGGCAGCTGGGGGAAGGTGCCCTCAGAGCCCCGCTCCCCTGGGCAGGTTTTCCCAAGAAAAAGGCACTTTTAGGGCCAGCGTCGGAGCCGCCCGTGCCAGAGGTGACCAGGGCTCTGCCGCCACCCGCCCGCCACGAGGATCACGCCCAGACTCTGAATCAGTGCAGGATGCACAGGACGGGCCACGGGACCACATAACGTGCAGAATGACGACTTTACAACCAGGCAGGTTCTAAAAAAAGTCTGTTTATTCCGCGCTGGGTGCACAGGGGATGGCTCCTCCACAAGCGTGCGCACCCAGCGCGGTTATTTGTCTTGGCTTTATACAACGAAGTGTTACACACTCATGATCGTTCCCAAACCACCCGTACATATTCATGATCTCTCCACGAAAAGGCAGGTTTTATTATAATGAGTTCTTAAGAAGCCATTCTCATGTGCTCGGCCCCAGTCTCCTCCTGCGCAGTGGCTCCTGGGGGTCTTCAGGGTGAAGACTGGAGATACCTCCTCTTCCTCTCGTGTCTTTTCACCTGGTTAGGTCTTTTTTTTCCATTAGATAACCGTGATTTCAGCATTTCTGTAGTCAGGACAACTCAGCATTCCTTGAGTCCCCATTCCTTATCTTGGGACTCAGTAGTTGGCAGCTCCTTCCTTATTTCGAGAGCCCCCCCCCCCGTGCTGAGAGCCCACCTCGCCCTAACTCATCCTCTTATCGCATCATCCTGCCTGCTCAGCGTCCCTCTTAGTTGTCCTGCACCCATTTTGTTAAGGTTTCTCACTTCACACGCACACCCCGGGCTCGGCAGAGCGGGAGCATCTCTTCCCCCATCCAGACGAAGGACAGACTTCCCGGTTTTTAATTTCCTCTGGTAAATCAGTTAAAAAAAAAACCCAACCAACCCGCCAACCGGCATTTTACGGGATGCCGATGGCCATTTTGCTGGTCCATTTGTTTTGCTAAATGCCATTTGTAATCGCAAGCTGCCCGTACTAGTACAAATATAATTACATATTTATTGCCAATATAATTCTGAGTTAATTATACGGCAACTAATTTTCTCAGCAGGGGCTTGCAATATTTGGGTGTAAAGGAGGCAGCTGTAATTCTGAGCACTTTTCTCCCCCTTTCTTTACCACACTGTGCAGTGTTGCTCCATTACTCTCCAGAGGCACCAAAGGGGACTTTTTTTTTTTTTTTTTCCTCCAAAGGGGAAGAAATCTTCCTTCCAGATGCTGCTGAGCACTGAGATTTCCTGACTTGGGCTGCTGGACAGGATTTCACCTCCTGGCTCCTCATTAAGATTCCCTTCACAGCCGTTTTGTGTGTTCATTAGCGGGTAAATATCTATTGTTGGACTCTTTATCAGTTGGAAGAATTGCCATGCCTTTGTTTTGTAAATTGTTCTTTCATCTCAGAAGATGCTGTTTGTGTGGGAAACACTGCTCAACACACTGGCTCCTGATTATACCCAGTTCCTTTTGTCTAGCCCTTGAATAGATGTTTTCCGTGAGAGCCACAATAATGAAGCCATCTCCAGATTGAGGTGATTAAGCCCTCGCTTCCTCTGGCTGCTTTTTGTCCCTATCCCAAAATTTGTGCCTTGTCACATCAAGTGTCCAGCTTTTTATTTTATTCCGGTTTTGCTCCTCCTGCAGCTGGAGGCTTTGTGACTGTCACTTGGCTCCTCTGTGATGAAGGTACCTAAATGGTCTCCAACTGTTCGATTCCTTTCGGGAGATGCTCTTATGATCTCCCTCGCCCTCAAAACCTTCCCTTACCGTTGCAATGGGTTTTTTTTTTCTGCTATAGTTGGAGTTTGGATAGTCCCAGCTGGGGCCTTAAAATAGCTCAAAATAGAAAACAAGAAGTCGGCTTTGCTCAAGGTGCTTCCTGAGCCTGTAAGTCCACGAGCTCTTGGAAGTCACCGGAGCCCGGGTGATGCAAACCAGAGCTCCCCCGCAGCCTCCCCAGGCCTGAGCTGAGCCCAGCGGGACGCTCTGAGCATCAGCCCGAGGGCTAGTGGCACAGGGGAAGGCAGGAAGGTCAAGCCCACACGCCGCCTCGCAGCTAATACCGGCGTTTCTCATCTCCGGAGGGGCAGGCGCTCGCCCGCTGCCCTTCAAAGGGTCCTGCTATTTACAGACCGGCAGAGCACCTCCGCCTTGCTCTGTGAGCCCAGCCTTGATGTCATCTCCATCTTCACCTTTATTTATCCTGGGATCCCCCAAGGCTGTTTAATTTCAGAGCTAAAGCCAGGTTGACCCGGCAGCAGCGATATTTCCTGCCTGCATTCCTCCTCGTCTCATTATTTTATATTAAAAGCGATTTTACTTGCAGTGACATCTCACACTATTTATAACCCACGAGAGGGAATATTTTATAGGTATTCGGCGGCTCTGACTCTGCCGCAGCTTGTGCCAGGATCTGGTGGGTCTGGGGGGCATCACGCCGCAGAGCATCCTCCCAGGAGAGCATCATGGCTGGGAAGGGACTTACCTTCACGGTGTGAGGGGCTCGGAGGGAGCACACGTGCTCCTCTGCACCCCCGTCTCCCCAGGACCCCCACCCTGCAGCTGTGGCCCAGCAGCACTGAAAAGGCAGGAGTTTGTTTTGGCTGGTGCTTGTTCCCCGGTCGAATGAGTAAGGAACAGCTTGGGAATGACTCACCTTCCCTATCAGGCAATTAGCACCAGATCTGCAGCTAATGAGCTGTCCTGTCTCTCACCAGGCAGAGGTAAGATACATATTTAAAGAGGTGATGGAAATAAAACACTAACCCCTGCCACAGCACAGGCTATTTTTAAAGCACAGATTAATTATCCAGATGGGGCAGTGCCGGGATGAAGGGAGCCGGGTGCCCAGGGGCCAGCAGGACCCACACACGCTCCCACCATCATCCCTCAGCTCCAGGGAGCAGC